CTTTTTATCCGTGGGGTCCGACAATGGCCTGGCTTTTATAGCCTAGTAACTCAAATTAACCTAAGCTTTACAGATCAATTAAAAAACTCGATTGGGCTTACCAGCCTCAGAGTTCAGGAGAGGTAAAAAGATAAGTTAGATTTTAAAGACTATAATTACTAATGGCCTTGAAAACTGGCGAAAACTGGGTGAGTCTCTTTTCCTTCTGCCCCTTTGCGTGCATGATGCATCCCCTATATTACAGATATTTCCTCTTTTGAGGTTTTATATAAAAAGGTTTCTAAAAATTAGCTGATTTAACTAATCAAGATCTTATTAAGTCTCCCCCAGACTTTTCAGCCAGCTCTGACTTCCATCCACTGGTTATTTCGCTGCTCCCCACTGCGAGCTAAAGAGCCTAGGCACCTGGACAAGCGACCTCACCGTAAATCACTTGAGCCACAATGGACTGTCAAAGTAGCCGAAAGCCTGCCTGGATTCAACGTTCCCACTGCAGACAGGTCCCAGCTTCAAAAGACCATTAGCCTGCAGATAAGTGAACGGTCATTTCTTCCAAGGACACTTTAAAGCTTAAGATTGTCTAATATAACTGATAATTTTGTGTTCTCCTCCTTTGTAGAGACCCCAAAGAGGCCTCTGTCTGACTTAAAAATTGTTACTTGTATGATAAAACAGAGTAAATTTAAATGTTGGTTTTCTTTCTCCTTTTGGTTAACAGCTTTAATGACAGCTACAAGACCTTTGTGAATCCTCCTACTGGGCCTTGTGCTGTAAACAAGTTGATAAACTATGTCAAAGTTCTTAAAAGCTTATAATTTTAAAGACACATACAAGGTTATAAACAGATGCTAAGGAGTCAATGGTTTGACTCACTGACTAAAATCAGTGGGGAATGTTGTACTCTAAGAAAATAGCTTCGTTATATGTGTATTATAGCAAACCTGTATAGGGGCTTACTAAATGTGTTTGTTTTATCCTTTTTCCCTAACTGATATGTTAAGTGACCTAATTGATATGTTGAGCAACACTCTCCCCTGTAAAAAATTGCAAGAATCTCACCTAATTGATATGTTAACCATTGTTGCCCTCTACAAACTACAGAAGCTGTGCTAAAACAAGCTAACAAGGGTTGTTAATCACTGCTAGGCGCCTCTATTCTCCGCTAAAGAGCTAAGGAAAACTAGAATGGCAATTAATTTACATTTGTTTAAAGTAACCTGCTTGTGTGCAGAGAGATTTGCGTGTGAGTTTAACCTTTACCCTGACCTTGACACATTACCGCCGTTTTCTGTTCTGTATGGCGCCTTATTGCCTCCCTCTCCCCTCACTTATCTATCTAGGCCATAAAGAATTTGGGTTTCTGGTGACCTCCCCCCGACCCGGTGATGATCTGTCGTAAAATGAGCCTGCCCCAATTTTAAGAACTGCTTAGCTTAAAGAAATTACCGGGTAATACTATGGCCCAAACCCCGATCGGTGCTTTCCTTTTGTTCTGTATGTATCAAATGAGTTAGATATCAGATCTTTGTAAAACTTAAGTTCCAGCGTCTCATAACTCGTGACCCCTTCGCACTCACTAGCGAAGACAAGCTGTCCTGAGATAATTAACTCTCCACTTTCTTCTCCAAATATTGCTGCAGACGTGCCACTCTGAGATAATGTCAGTCTGCAAGATGGGAGTAATTTAAAAAAACACCAGGAACTCCCTAGATTGTCAGAGCTAAGTGGACAGCAATACAGTTTCCAGACTCGGGTCAACAAGTTTGATGGCTCTACAGGTTTCTTTGTTTGTCTCCCCCCGCCCTTTCCTCCAGCCCCTTTTTAAAGTCCTCCCTTCAGCTTCTGGGGGACAGTCTCCAAATTGGCTCCCAGAGACTGGTCGCCAGGCCTGAAATAAAGCCTTTGCCACTAAATTTTCGGTCTCTTGCCTCCTTGGATTTTATACCGGGGCCCAAGTTATAACAGATATCTTAAGAGTAATTGTTCAGGGCTGGGGATTTAACTCAGTGGCATAAGCAGCTGCCTGGTAAGTGCAGGGTTCTGGGTTTGATGCTTGGCACCACAAAACAAAACAAAACAAAACAATAACAAAAAACAACAAAAAAGAATAGTTGTTCAGATTACAAGATTTTCGCATGAAAAAAAATGCTCAAACAAGCAATGAAAACACAAACTTTTTAAATGAACTAACAGAGAGTATTAGTATAGTCATGTATCATATACACACACACACACACACACACACACACACATACACACTATATGTGTACGTGGTATTTTGATGCAATGTAGTATTACTTAGGTACAAAGACGGGTAAATGAGGCTTTCATAGGTAAATGCATGCAACTTGAGACCATACTCATAAGTGAAATAAATCAGACTGGCATGTACAACTTCTTTGCCTTTAAAGAAGGGACTCTTTGCCCAATTGGTCTTGAGTTTTGCCTTGAACGACTTGGATGTGCTTAAAGCATTGTAAAAGTCATAATTTTAGAATCTCTCAGCCCTTGTCCTTTTGATTCTTTTGGGGGTTGGAGGGGTGAGACAGGTTCTTACTATGTAGTCCAGACTGGCCTTGAACTCACTATGTAGTCCAAGTGGTCTCAGATTCACAGCAATCCTCCTGTCTCAGCCTCCTGTGCAAGCAAGGAGGACATCAGTTTCCTCCCCTCTAAGAACTGGAGGAAGTGAGGCTCTGTGGTGTAGCACTGACCAAAAAGAATGTCAGAAGACAGGTTATGCTATTGTCATGATCACTGAGACCAAACCCTTTCCCCTGGGAACCTCTGCTCAAAAAGTCAAGCTCAAAGCTCTTACTTAGGCATTGGTATTAGGAGAAAGAAAAAGACTATGTAAATACACCTGTCTGGTGCTACATGCCCATGTAACATTCTGGAAAGAAAGTTGTGTTCAACGTAACAGTCATTTATAAAGCACAAGCAGGAAGGTCTACAGCTCCTAGAGGCAGGCTGTCTTCCCAGGCAGGTTGCTGCCAGCTTTCTAGGATAAAGCCGGCTCCATCTGAACTGTCTGAGGAAAAAGAACACCATAAAACAGAAAGCTAATCATGTGGACTGCTGGAATATTTGAAGCCTCTCTCTTTTTTTTTTTTTTTTTTTGTCTTTTTCCTTTTTATCAGTACCAGGGATTGAACTCACGACTGCCTGCTTGCAAGCAGGAGCTTATGCCGCTGAGCTAAATCCCCAGCCCCAGAAGCCCCTCTTTAAACAGCAAAACTCTGGTGCTATAGCAAGTTCAGACCCCTGATCCACCACAGCTTAGGAGAGTGCTGTATTCAGACTCCTGCTTTTCGTTAGATCCATAATACGGGTGATCTGGTGAAGGCTGTGACTCTCAGGCTCCTGGTGGTTTCTCTGTATCCTTGAACGAATCATAAAATTTATCCATCAAAGGCCTCATACGGTGATCCAGACTGCAGCCCATGAGTCTCCTGACAAATTCCCCAAACTTCCTTCTGTTGAACAAGCGGCTCAGCAGCCCTTCACACAGAGGCACTGACTCCTTTTCCATTGTCTTCTGCCAGGTTTTCCTGAGCCCAGCTGGTGACTAAGCATAATCCCCAGCACATTCAGCTGGAAACACTGCTATATGAAGACAGAGATCACCATACCCTCATTGCTACCTAAATAAAGTCACAGAGAAATGAGGCTGGCGATTGGGGCATGGCAGTGTCTGGGCAAATGTGTCTGACCTGTCAATCATGGAGGTCTGGGACACCAGCCCTGTACCTGGGACCAACCGGAAAACGCTATCTTCAATTGTGTTGGTGTCAGGTCTTCATGTTTTTGATAGGATGGCCTAGATCTGACATCAGAATGGGGGGTAAAAAGACAGCCACTGTTCACTTCATTGCTACGCTAAGGTCTTTTCTATTTTCTGTTTTCATTTGGCGGACACTCAGTCTGCACAGTGTCCTTCTTTTCTTACTTTGATTACCTTTGGTAGCTATAAAACCTTACCCTTTGCACTTGTTTTGACCAATTCTTCATTTAGGGCAACAAGAACTAGGAAGAATTTCTAGAAGAAGCCCATGGTATCACAGGACCCTGGTAGCAGCTTGACTCCCAGGTTCAGAAGAGAATACCTGGGTGCTGTTGAAGCTGATGTTTGTGCAATTTGTGATTGTGGCAGTTTGACATTCGTGCCTCCAGCCACACAGAAAGGAAACGCAAAGTTCCCTTTGTGCCCTGGTAGCTGATGCTGAAAGGCTACACCGAGCAAGGAACTATGGGATGTTACCTTGCTTGGGCCAAGGTAAGAAAATGAAACAGCTGCCAAAGTGGATCCCATGGGCCAGGTGTGACATTGAATCTTCTCTCTCCCAGGGCGGCTTCTCGGGCTTTACTTACCAAGCCCCATGAACCCCTCTGAAACCTCCCTGGGTCAGGCAATGAATTTACAATGAACCCTACCTATACTTTTTCATGGCCTATGCATGTTAACTGAATTTTTCATGAAGACCCAAAGACCAAGGAAGATGAGAGGGTCACTTCTTTGCTCTGTCAGGCCTTGGTGTCGTGTCACACTGGTCCCAAAGGCCATGGTGGATGGGTGTTAAAACCACAATATAACTGTAATTAATTATAATTGATATGCGATCATTTTAATTTGTTTAGGATGTTCGATAGCCCATGCCTTGGGACATGGCTTCATAGTTTGAGGTGGGGCTGTTTTGGCTTTCAGAGAGCTTATTGGGAGCCCCAGAAGCCTAGAGCATCTTCACCCACTGTCTTTCCCAGCTAAGCTCGTGAGGTAGGAGCTAGGCACTCTTTGTGGTTTTGGAGAGAAGAGTCCTACTTTCCCTCCGACCTTCAGACTCTCTCCTTCTGTATCTTTCTCCTCTCTGCCTCCTGCCAAGCTAACATCAGGCTGGGTTCTGGGGAGTGCAGGCCCCGGGAGAGATGGTGGTGTGAACCCACCTTTTGTCCTTCCATTTCTCAAAGGCCAGAGGAAAGAATCTCAGACTTGGAGACCATGTTGCATGTCTTTATTTAGCAGAAAAGTGGCCTCCATCGTTGGGCTGAATTGGGATGTTGGGTGTGGGGAGCTGCACTGTCAGATGGGCTTTCAGCTCTCTCACAGGGAATGTGTCTGGGGGGCAGCCAGATGTCACTGGAGCAGCGTGACAGGAAGAACAGGGGGTGAAGAGGTAGGAGGCACCTGAGGGGGGACAGCTGAGTAAAGATGACTGGATTCTGGGTCGCAGGAGGGGGGAACAAAGGCAGCCCCAAGACCCGGGCTGACCCCCCCCCCACCACTAGCCTTCCGTCAGCCCCTGCCCAGCCAGCTGCCATACTCACTGTCCGTTCAGCCGTTCAGCCGTCAATGCACTTGTCTGTGGGGGGAAAAGCAAGTTAGAGCAGGCAGAGTGTGTGCGTGTACGCGCGTGTGAGCATGTGTGTGTCTGTGAGCCCTGGCTACCAGACTCCCTGTATTTTGCAGGCTGCCTCAGACCTCATTTGATCTATTAGGATTCCCTGAATTCAGAGGCTTGGGATGGAATCTTGAGGGACTTGCGACTCATGATGCCTTGCAACCAAGGCCCCTGGCCTATTGCCTGAAGAGTCCTGTCACCCCCACATTCCATGGCCCCGAGTGGCCTGATTGGAATCCCCTGCCCGGGCCTGGCCACTTGGAAGTGGCCATCCCTCCTACATTAGAGATTATCCTCCCTGGAAGTAAGATCATCTCCTACCCCAGGGCCAGGGGGAGGGGTAGGTGAGCAGAAAAGGGTCCCGAGGCACAGCAAGGAGTTGGGCCAGCACACCAAGAACCAAGGTATGGAGAGGAGCTGCTCAGGGCACTGAACACGGGGAACTGAGGACCTAGGCCCAAAACTGGGCCTCGTTTGTGTGTGTATGGATGAAATTGTCGTGGAAAGCATTTAGGGCCAGCATCCCTGAGGACTCACAGACCCAGACTTTCATCACCATATTCCCTATGAGTGGGGCAGGAGAGCGACTTTCTCCTCTTTTCCTGGCCTGGCAGCATCAGGCCTGAACAGAGTCCAAACCCCTTCCTCTTTCCCCAGCTGGCCATTACCAATGGGTGTAGGATAGCTGATCATGTCTTCAGTGAAACCCAGATCCTTGGCTATCCTGATGAAGTACTTCTTGAATGGCAGGGTCAGCTCCTTAGTTCTCCCTGTGACCAAGATTGTCAGTGAGTGACCAACAAAAAATACATCATAATTAAAAAAATAAGCTAAAACCGCTATGTAGTTCACACTAGAATTAAGCTTGCAGTCCTTCAGCGTCAGCCTCCTATGTGCTGGCCTGACAGGCATGAGCTTCCACAAAGTCTGTTGAGTGAATAAGGAAGGCCTCAGACTCCTCTGTCATGGATAGTCTGTGGCATGATCTGTTTTCTGAGGGCTCTCAAACTGGAGAAGCCTTGGGGTTTTAGGAGAAAGGGCTCCCTCCCTCAATGGTGCCCAGAAGCTGGTCCCTGAGGTTGTGGAAAGGACTTACCATAGAGGTAGGCCTTGTAGTGCACCGTGTTTCCACGAGTCTCCTCGAAGTACACAACGCTGTGGCTGTAGTAGTTAGTGATGACCACTGTCATGGTGTAGCTCGGTACTCCACTGTAAACTGTAACAGGGACCATGAGGGTCATCCCTTCCCTGCCCGAAATGAAGAGACCGTCTGTGTCTACTGTGACTCCTCATTGGCAGGGACTTCTCCCTGCAGGACACAACTGTGTGGAGGGCAGTGAGGCCTGGGCCCTTCTGGAGGACTCTGTCCCCAGGTCCCACACCCAGGAGCCCCCTCACCCGGGACTCACATGGTGTACTTTTCAGGGTGTACTGGCCACGATAAGCGTCTGGGACGATGTTTGCGACCTCGTGTACACAGATGTCACCACTGTGGGAGAGATGGTAGATGCTGAGCAGGGCGATGACACAGACTTAAACTCCCTGGGCTGCACAAAGAGAACCCAGGCCTGCAGCAGGGCTCTGAGGCTCCCATTCAGCCTAGCTCAGGAAAACCCATGGGGCACGATGACAGGAGCTCTGTCAGTGCTGCCCGTGCTCCTGGCCCTTTCCCCGTGCATCTGTGTCTGGTCTACCTGACCCTCCCTCCTGCACTGGCTTCCTCCTCTGCTGCATGCGTGTCCCACACACAGGCCCAGGGACTGGCCCTCGCTCTTGTCTTACTGCTTCCCTTCCCAATCTCTCCCAGTAATTTCTTCTGAGCTTTTAGTCCGCCCATGCCAAGCTCTACCTTTGCCCCTCGGCTTTCCCTCACCTCCCCGGAGTCTATTCCCTCCCTGCACCCTTCAGTTCTGCTTCCAAAACCTGCATTCCTTCAGCCTCTCGGTCTTCTGCTGCTCCAACTCAATCCACCCAGTGGCCAGAGCCACCTGCTTGGCTCTAACTGCAGCCAGATTTTGGCCCTTGCAAGAGTCCAGGGTGGGCAATGGTTCAGTATGGGATGCGCCAGGGACTGGCCAGGAGCGCTCCCCTGCTGACCACACATCAACCCCTACTCAGGTGGCTACGCTGAGGGCTGGCCACTTTCCTACCTTCTATGAGGAGGCTTTCTGCCTCAGTGTCCACCAGGTGCTGCTGAGAGCTCCATACCTGTTTTTCTTTGGTTGTGGTGGTTATAGGACCTTGCATCTCCAGCCCTTTTTAATTTTAATTTTGAGGCCAAGTGTGACCAAGTTGTCCATGCTATCTTCCAATCATGATTTTCTTACTTTGTCCTCCAGGCCTGACCTCATAAGATTACGGGCTCTTTAAAGACATTTCTTTGAAAGTCCTAGATGGATGCCTTGGGTGGGGTCCCTGGGAGGATCCAGTGTCTCTCCTTCCTGTCGGGGACACCTACCCTCTGTCTTGTTTCTGTTGCTTGAGTGCATTTGTGCTGGACTCCCTGTGAATGGAAGGGTGGGAGGCAGACAGATCAGTGGGAGGAATGACTGCACCCCTTAGCCTTGGGCATCGCTTGGTGACATTGCTCTGCCTCTTAGACCCCAGGATACAGTGGGTTCACCTGAGTGCTGTGGTGACGACGTAGTAGCTGTGGTCATCTTTCAGCTCATAGATGACGCTATGCATTTTAAACTCGCCTACATCCTGCACGGGATCCTCTGCCACAGCCAGGACATACCACTTCCCCTGGAACTGTGAAGAGATGGTGACAGGCAGAGCCCACGGATGGCCCCAGAGCCAGTCCTCCCTCGCTGTCCCTGCTGGTATCTCTCATCAGCCCTCTGGGCTGCAGGGCCTAGGGATGAGGCTTCTCTTAGTAGCTGGAAATAGCAGGGGTTCTCTAGAGTCAGGAGAGAGCCTGGGTGAGGAGTTTGCCCTGTGTAGACAGGATGGGGTGGCCCCAGGCAGGCGGCTGTTGGGCTCTCCTGAACTTCAGTTTCATACTCTGTGCAGAGGGACCTCAGATGTCCCCACCTGGCATGCATTGGGCTTGGACTCATCCATCACCACCCCTGAGTCCCTTGGCCTCTCCTCCCTTCTGCTCCTCTATCCTCCACCTATAGCAGGCCTTCCAGAGCCCTTACCTGCTTGTCCTGGAGGTCGCCCTGTCGGGGTACTCTGGACAGATCTGGGTGTGGATTCAGGGTTCGATCAATAGGGTGGGCTTGGATCTGCAGGGACCCCAGCAGGGTGAGTCCGAGACCCAGGAGCCTCAGGGCCATGGCCTCAGTGTAGCTGCTGAGCCTGGGAGGTAGAAAATGGGGGAAGAGCAGGGCTGAGGTGGCCAGTCAGAGGCAAGTATTTATAGGACACCTGGCTGCTGCCCCTCTATAGTGTACTGACCCATCCTGTGCTTGATCCGGGTAGGGTGACTCAGAAACATGTGGCAAATTGCCTGCCTTTCTCCCCTCCTGCTCAGGATTACACAATGTAGTGAGGGCAAATGACAGTCAACAAATGGTCATTCCAGACCCTCCCCATATGGTGGAGAGAAGTCCTTACTCTCTCTTAATCCTCCCTGTCCCTCTTTCCTCATTTTATTGTCCCTATTTGTGGATCAGCAGCTTGGTCTCACAGCTTGTCATCTCTGACCCTGTGTGCCCACAGAGAGTGCATGTGCGTGGCAATGTCCCCTCCTACACCTCTAAAAAGGAAAACAATATTCCAAGCACAATGGTTCATGCCTGTATTGCCTGCTTTTAGGAGGCTGAGGCAGGAGGATTGCCACAAGTTTGAGGTCAGCCTGAGCTATGTAGTGAGTTTGGTGCCAGCCTGAACTAGAGTGATTTCCTGTGTGAAGAAACCAAAATATAAAAACAAAAAGAAGGAGGAATAAATGAACAAAAAACAAAGCACACTCCACTCTGATAACTGCTGTGCTGCTTCTCGGTTCTTGTCAAGGTGCAGGGAAGGGTGGGGAGGCTGCCAGGGCACTTTCTAGACCAGGAAGGACAGGTTATCTGCTCAGGTCTCACAGGAGCCTCAAGCCGGCCCCTGACAGAGTGAGATGCCTTGAGCCCCTCTCCTCTCCCATGCCCCAACCTATTTGCCGAGTAAATAGGACAGCAGGGACCCTCAGGGACTTGTCCTCTCCTATGGGCCCAGCAGGCAGAGATTCAGAGCCAGATACAGGTGCCATCGATATAGCTGTTTGATAAACAGCGCTGAGGCTTCACTGGTAGTAGTGGCCACTGCATGAGGCGCCCTCTGTGGGGCCAGGTAAGCTACACTCTGCTGCTTTGGGTCAGCAGGTGCCAGAATTCGGCCTTGCCCTTGAGAGCTTGTTCAGATTGGCATTTTGTCCTTGTAGCCCTTTGGCTCAGGCCTGGGGTCAGGACTGAAAGCCTGGGACAGTAGAGATGGTTCCAAGGCCCTTTATCATGGTTAGATGGGTCACCCGCATCAGTTCCTGTTGCCTAACACGAGGGTATACTGAGTAATTTATAGCTTTTTCTGTAACTAAAAGGAATATGATTGTCTCTGCCCGTGTGTGGTGAGGATGAGGGAGGGGTTTAGAAGGGGTCCTGAGCTGGTGGGTAGGGTGCAGCCTCGGCCCTGTACACCAAACAGCTCTGTTCACATCTCATCCTGTCTGAGCCGAATGATGAGAAGGCAGGAAGTAAATCTGAGCAAAGCCATGGCCACCGGAGCCTGCCACCATTCCAGTCCTGAGGGCTCTCCCTCCACCAGTCTCTATGCAGTTGAAAAGTATGATCATCAGGTCATGGTGTGCATATCTGAGATCACATGGGTGCACAGGTCTGGGAGGCTGAAGCAGGAGGATTGCAAGTTAGAGCTCTGCCTGGCAGCTTAACAAAACCCTCTCCCATAATGGAAAATAAAGGGAATATTTACTGCTTCTTTGGAGAAAGGATACAGATCCAGTTTCATATGTTTCTGGGTAACAGAAACTGGCTTATGTGTTCTTGTAGCTCTTGTTATACTTATGTGAAATTTAGTTGAATGACTTTTCTGATTTGAATTAGATTAGTATTTAAAGATCTTTTTTTATTGATTTATTTCAAAACTAATAAAAAATGGATAAATAGTTTAAGCCTTACCGATAAGAAAATGTTCCTGTGGTTTTTCTGTAAAAAATAAAAACATTTATCTTTCATATTCTGTGGAGTAACAGCTTTCTGTTTATGTTACTATACAGATGTTTAATTCCTATAATGTCAAGGCTGGAAGGGTGTCCGTCTGTTTCTCTACCACTCAATGCAGCACCTCTGGCTGCAAGCCCATCACTCTCCATTTTGAAGAAATGCACATTACAACACAGGTACTCAAGAATGCACAAAGAAACTTCTTCAGAGTTAGAAAAACATGCATTTAATTAGGGAGAAAGAATAGGAATTCAATAAGTAGTTTTTGATTTAAAATTTAATTTATTCTATAATATAGGAGAAGTTTCTCTGAATGGACTTTTTAAAAAATGATGTTTTCTTGTGTCTTAACTTTTCTTCTACTTTTAATAAATGCTTCCCAAAAAATTTGAAGAAATTGTTTAGTGCAAGGATACTAAATTCATTTGCCAGTACTGGAAAAGAATAAGAATTAAAGAAAAGAAATGCAAAGGAACTCAGAGGCCACCTTACATAGTGACACCTCAGTCCCTGTGTGGATATTTCTATGGCCACCCTGACCACCCCACCAGCTGTCTGCAGAGCAGGTGGGGACATGGGCACAGGCAGTGAGGGTGGGATCTGTGCAGGGCGCATTTCCTCTGCACGGACACCAGGCCTATCTAAGACCTGCTACCCTTACTGCTAGCTCTCTCTTCTGATCATTGCTGATACCCTCTTTCTCCTTACCCTCTTTCACCTGGCTGCCTCCTGCCTTCCATCCTGGTCCAGCCTTGGGGTCAGAGATTGAGAGATGAGGATGAGGCCTGCAGAAAGACGTGCATTCCTGGGATGCTTGTCTCAAGCCAGGCCCTGGGTGCTGGGACATGTCATTACAGTCATGGTCATGGCCAGGAGAGAGGCCCCACTGTGAAGCTGCACTGCAAGGCTCCAATGGCACCTGGCTCTCCCAGCCCCCAGCCTGCTTGCCAGCAGAACTTGGTTCTCAGCAGGGATCTCAGCTCAGTACCAAGTTGTCATCAGCACACATGGGAAAGGAGATCAGACAGGACAAGGAATTTTGTGAGTCTTGCGGACATCTAGAGACACTCAAGAAAATCAACATTAGACAGCTCAGAGACTTTGTCCACTGAGATATAAGATTGCCAGAAATCTTTAGCCACAGTTGTTTATTAAACCTTCCTGCCTGCTTTCTTTCCATCCATATGAAAGAGACATGCCTCACTTTGTTTGAGGCAGATAGCTTTGTCACTCTCCCTACCTGCACCCACGTGTTAAACCATGTGCCTTTTTGCTATTATGAGAGCTTATCATATGACTTCGTGTCTCACATTTGTTAGAGTCAC